GACATTGCTGTGGTAGAGTTTTTCATGGCTGTGGCCATAGCTGGTTCTTGATCTGACGTCACTACTCCAGAAGAAGGCTGGGTGGGGGCGCACACACAGACACATGCAGGGGCAGAGGGGGAGACATGCACACAGACACACACGGTAGGGAGATATATGCAGGGGGGACCTGAATGGAAACCAAAAAGCCTTGGTTTTCTCCTTTAGAACTGGGTCTGACACCCCAGTCAAGCTCCAGTGCTGTTTAAGGTGATGGGGTCCCACAATCAGTCCAGCAATCAGCTGTGATCCCCTAAGTACCTCACTCAAATTCTTGCTGTCCTGCTTGCTCCCCACCATAGCTCACTGCACCCCACCAAGGCACACTGCACCCCACCGAGGTTAACTGCACCCCAGAGGCTTGCTGCACCCTGCCAACACTTGCTGCTCCCATGGCTCTCAAATGTGTATGTTGTATTTTTAACAACCTCAATCCTCTTTGCCCTCTTGCTTCCACCCATAGTCTATTATCTTGCCTAGAGAGATACATGAGCCAGAGGAGGTAATCTGTTCACAAAGATGGACTCACCACTCAGCAACAGGGCCCTAATCACACACTCTATCCAGCCTCGCCTGTCCTGCCCACTCCTACTGGCCTCCTGTGCAAACCTGTCTAGCAAAATTATGGCTACTATTAAAAAATAAAAATTCCACAGTACCAATCAGAATCCTGCATATTCCACCCAGCCACTCACTCCTTATTCCACTCAGCCAATCATAATTATGCTAATTCTCCTGTCCTTAACACCAAGCCATAGCTCAAGTTGTCTTTGATGCTACTAACTAGATACTCTTTAATTGAACTGTAATCTTTTACGGGGCAGACAAGGATCATATTCTTCTTCTTAGCATCTCATTTTCTTATATACCTGTTTATTCAAATGAGTTTATTCCGTGATCTCTGACTATGTCCACAACACTCTGCTAGATTCTGGAGAAGGAGAAGAAGTGCCTCCTGTCTTACAAGAGCACATGTGGAATTGAGGGGAAGGAGTCTCTTACCTGAGTCAAATAACCCTTAACTACTCTATAGAATTTAAAACATTGTCATCCAGCCACAGCCTGAGAAATCTGGTATCAGCGTCCAAGTCCTTCAAAAGCAGAACCATCTATATGTTTAACAGCATTAATTGTTAACTAAGACACAGTTTTCCCTTCCTGTGGCTTTCCTGTATTGGTATACATCCAATCTTCTTTTTATTTCTTTTTTTTTACATGCCAGTCCTTTAATATTTTAAATGTGTTTCTTTATCTACTGTTTCTTCACATGACCCCAACCTACCAGGTTTTCCTTCTTCAGGGATCCAAGGACTTTCATGTTCATGACTAACTGCAGCCCCTACAACTGAACAGATGCTTCAGGCAGATTCTGACTACCAGGAAACAGTGTGGAGATCATGGCCACCTGTTCCCATATTCCAGGGATGATAGATAGATGATAGATAGATAGATAGATAGATAGATAGATAGATAGATAGATAGATAATAGACAGTCTGCCAACTAATCATGCCATGAGTTGACTCTTATTCGTGATGACAACCTAATGTATGACAGAACCAAAATACTGCTTGCTCCCTCATAATCCTCAAGTTCTCTAACACATTCACACCCGCCATTTGAGGCTATTGAGTCAATATCTTGCATCAAAGATCTTTCTCATCCTCACTGGGCCGCTACATCACCAAAAAAGGATGTCTGTCTCCAGAAAATGATCCCTCCTAATGTCATGTCCAAGTTAACACCTAACTGTGCTCATACAAAACCTATACTTGGAGCAGGAAGCAGTCATCAGAATAGAGCAAGGAAACACTGCATCCTTCAGGATCAGGAAAGAAGTGCATCAGGGATGCATCCTGTCTCCATACCTTTTCAATCTATATGTGGAATAGATAATTTTGGAGGCTGGGCTTTATAAGGAAGAATATGGCATCAGGATTGGAGGAAGACTCATCAACAACCTGTGCTATTCAGATGACACAATCTTACTTGGTGAAACTGAGGAGGAAAGGACCTGAAGTGTTTGCTGCAGAAGGTCAAGGATTGCTGCCTCCAACATGGTTTGAAGCTCAACATCAAGAAAACAAAGATTCTCACCACTGGACCAATTGGCAGCACCATTATAGATGAAGAAGATAGTGAGGTTGTTAACAATTTAATCTTGCTTGGTTCCACACTCATCATTCTGGGCACCAGCAGTTAGGAAATCATAAGATGGACTGTATTGGCTAAATCTGTCAGGGACCTCTCTAGAATACTGAAGAGTAATGATGTCAGTTTAGAAACTAAGGTATACCTGATCCAAGACATGGTATTCACAATTACTTGCTATGCTTCAGAGAGCTGGACAGTGACTAGGGATGATAGAAGAATCAATGCCTTTGAGCTGTGGTGCTGGAGAAGAGTGTTGAACATACCATGGACTGCCAAGATAACAAATAGATATATCCTAGAGCAGATAAAACCAACATGTTCCCCGGAGGCAAGGATTTTGAAGCTCTGTCTCACATAATTTGGGCATGTTGATAGGAGGGACCAATCATTGGAGAAGGATATCATGCTTGGAAGGGTAAAGGAATGGCAGCAGAGCAAGACCCTGGATGAGATGGATTGACACAGTATCTGGGATAATGCAAAGAGGTGTGTTGGAGACAGTGAGACTGGCTTAGGATAGGACAGGGTTCAGAGCTATTGTCTATAGGGTGGTTATGAGTTGCAAGCAATTCAAGGGCACATAAAAACAACAACAACAATGACATGTCCAAAGCAAGCAAATTGGACCACATTCTGTATGACTGATAGAATTTTCATTTGCCAGTTTTCAAAAGATCACCAAGCCTACATTCCCAGGCTGTCTTACTGAGACTCCACAGAATCATTGATACCATGAGAGACCCTGCTCGCATTTGAAATGCTAGTGGCATAGTGTCCAGCATCATAACAACATACAAGCCACCATCTTATAACAAACTGATGGACAGATGGTAGAGGAGCTTCAGCCAACCTCTGGGAAGGCCACCAAAGGATTTGTTCAGGTGCTTCACTGCTGCTGCTCTTCAGCTTACAGACAACTGAAATTCTAAGATCTTTCTCCCAAAGCCAGGTCATTTCTTACCTAGTACCATGAGCTTTCTGGTGCTAAATACAAAACTTTAGCTTTCCCACTGTTACATTTAATTTCCCCCCCCCCACACTCAAACATTATTTCTAGCCTAGCAATATTCCTTTAAAATATATCTTGGAAACAATTAGAAACCTAAGTTCTTTATAAACTTTCATTAAAATCTCAATTAAAAATAGTAAAAAAAAATAAAGAAATAGAAAATAACTAGTAAAATGTGTATGAGGTTCCAAGAATGGAAAAGTGGGAGCAGAGAGGTGAAGATGTGCAGGGAGGAAATCATAGGGTCATAAAATGTGGTAGGTAAATGGAGGGGGTGTAAAGGAAGTAGGCAAGATTCAATGGGGATTTGGAAAGATAGGGTAATTGTGGACATAGTTCAATGGTGATTAATTTTATAAAACAAAATGGATGGGAATGATTTTATGAAACACAATGTGAATGAAAATGTAAAACATTGTATATGGGCTTTGAAAACAAGCAAATATAGAATAAAAATTTAAAAACAATTAAAAAAATCTTGTATTCTATTATAAAGGTATTAGTTATCTGCCTTTCAGCTTTGTTTCATTAGAAAATTTGGTACCTGCAACACTGCTCCATCAATATGGTTTAATTGGGCAGGACCAAGGCCAGCGCTCCACACAGCTTCCCTCTAATTGGCCCTAATAGAAAAAGCTATGTTCTTAAGTAACTGAGAACAATTCACCTATCTATACTGTCATCTAATCCATAGTTTCCATCAAACCCACATGATTATCATGTGAAATTCTGTCAGATACTTCCCTGCTAGCCAGAAGCCTTGCCCTACAGCTGTCAAGAGTAACGGCTTAGCGTTGGTGTCAGAAGAAAGAAATGTGGTTAGTTTGGCTTGACTTTGTTTTAGCAATCTTTTTACCAGCTTTTCTTTCCAAGATTCACTTTGTCCATTGCACTAAGGAATAGGTTTTTTTAGAACCCACACATTCTAGAACAAGAAAGGACCTTGGAAGCAATTAAAATTCTATTCCTAATTTCACTGATGAGGAAACCACTGCCCAGAGTGCTTAACCGACCTCCCTTAAGTCACAGAGTTAATTAAAGGAAGAACAAGAATCAGATCCCATTCTATGTTTCCAAGTTCAATATTCTTTCTCAACAGTAGCACATCATAACCTCTCTCTTTCTCTCTCATACACACACAGGGACACACACACACACACACACACACACACACACACACACACTTTCTTTCCTCAAGGTTTCTTCATTATCCACTAAGCCAAACTCTCATTTTCTCTTTTCCCCTCTCATGTTAATGAGGTTCCCACAACTGACGCTTTGTCCCCTCCTGCTTTATATAGAAGATGAGAGTGTGGGACTCCTGGATGGGAGTTAAGGACCCATTGTAGGGGAGATTTGCCTCTCCACCCCAATCTGAGTTAATCTTAGGATTCTAAATCTACTTAGAAGAAACCATATTTCTTGGACTTCACCTGATCCTGTGTGTGCATAGGCGTGAGGCTTGCACCTTGGGAGGGCCATAAGCTATCTCTTCTGTGCATTGAGCAGAGGTGCAGACTTCCCAGGAATCAATGAGTGATATACATAATGGTTTGTGGGGCAGAACCCCTGGCCACACAGTGCAAGGGCTGACAGTGCTGAAGTACATCCCTGCCATGGGAGTTAGGCAGTGCCCCCTGGCTGGGTGCCTGAGGAACTGACTCAATTTTAAGAACTAGTGGCAAAGAGATGTGCCTACAGCAGGAGTGGGCCCAGATGGGGATATCCCCAGTACCCTGGACAGCTCCCAAGGCAGGCCCCTTCACCACCCTCCCCGCCCCCCTGGGAGGCCCTGGGTACCTGTTTATTCTTTAGGTCAAGGGAGAGTTCGTAATCGGAGGCAGCAGGGGTGTGGGAGCAGAGCGCCGACGCCAGGGCAGGCTGCTGCTGGCTGGGGGAGGCCGCACGGTGGGGGCCAGCCCGCGGGGAGGCACCCCCCGCCCCTGGCTGCTCCTCCTCCTCCTGCAGCTCCTGGGCTTGAGCCTTCGGGGCATGGGCACTGGGTCTGCCGGCTGCCACCGCCGCCGCTGCCACCACGGAGTCCTCCATGCCCCCACCGGCCTGGGCGCAGGAGCCGTCACTGTGAACAAAAGGCAACGGTGCTCGGTTGGGGGACGGGGGAGGGGTGCATGTGGGTGTAGGGGTTGGGGGGATGGGAGACTGATGCTCTGTGGTTTGGCCTTACTAGAATGCACCTCTCTAGTGATGGGGGCTGGTGGAGTGTCTCCTGCATTCCTCTTCATGGAGAGGCTGTCTTGGCTGAGGAGAACCTGGCACTAGGGATTGAGGCAAAAAGAACCTGAACTTCCAGGAAGGCATTCCAAGTAGAAGGAAGAAGCCTATGGCCAGAACTCCAGGGCCTTTGCTTAGGAGCAGCATAGACCCTCTGTATTCAATCCTAGGTTCTCCCTCTTGATAACTGTATGACATGAACAGTTTATGTAACCTCACTGTGCTTCTGTTTCCCCGTCTATAAAAATGGACTTTAACTAGTACCTAACTCATAGAATGTTCAAATGCTTAAGGTCCGTAAAATAGTCCCTGGATCACGTTTATTGCTATATGGTAATACTTATATTTTATATCATACTGGTATTTATAATTATAGTGGTAATGATTGTAATTATCAGTGGTCTGGCTGCCTGGTTGGTAGTTTATTTAGTAGCTGAAAAGAAGCTGATCCACAGTGAGCTGACTTTTTCTACAGATCAGCCTGACTTGAGGACAAGCTTTTCTAAGATGATGGGTTTTTTAGGGGCTGGATTTACAGAGAAGAGGGTGCTTGTCCTGTACAGCTTAAACAAGCATCCATTCTTCCCCAGGCCCTCCTTTCCTCATACAGAATCACCAGCAGGGTGAGCCCTGGCTGCTGCCCACCGTCTTTCCTAGGAAAATGCCTCACTTGCTAGAGACCCTGTACTCCAGCCTGCCCAGAGGAGTGAGTTCACTTAAGTTGCTCCCCTTCCCAGCCAGCCCTCCATTCCTTGAAGGCCTAGTGCCACACCTCCTCTTCCATGAAGCCTCCCAGAATGACTCCAGTATTCACTGATCCTAACAACTTTTTTAGGGCGTCACTGTCTATTTCATGGAGGAGGTCAACCATTGTGGCTAATAACATGGGCTCAAATCCAGCTCTACCACTGTGTAGCCTTGGTCAAGCTGCTTTTTCTCTGACCTTTGAGTTTCTTGTCTATCTAATGACAATACTGATACTTTCATTATATAGTTATGGTGAGGGATAAAGGAGTTCGCATAGGTGAGGCATTCAGCACATTATCTGGCAGAGTGAAATGCCCAATACACATTAGCTTTTACTTCTACTATTTTATCCTCTCCCAGAGGCCAGAGCCTGTGGTCTGTTTGATTGTCCTCTCATCATTTAGTGTCAGCCACAGTGCTAGGCAAACAATGAGTGCTCAGTAAATACTTGCTGAGGGGTCAACTAAAGAGAAGTCAAGGCCCATGAGGACGGCCTTGATGATGAACAGTGATGGAGGATAAGGGCTAGATGGAGTCCTTAGTGCAACTATTCTAGTCTTCCACCCTTCACTTCATATATTTACAGAGCATTGGAGCCCACGGAAGTGGAGCAGACTTGTGCACGAGAGCTAGGCTTTATTTCTTTTGTGCAAGAGGCCTAGGATTGATATCTTCCAAAAACTGCCTCCCAGTAAGATGCCCAAGCCATACCATAGGAAGGACCTCTTCATACTGCTTCCACTCACTCCTGGAGTAAAGAGAAGCATTCCACTAGTGCCAGTGCTAGTAACCAGACAGGGTGAAGGGGCCCCTCTTCATTCTATCTCCATGTGTCTTATCCACACTCTCCCTTTTCCTCTCTCAAATAAAGAAAAGCTTGGTTGGTCCCAGCCAGAAGGTGCTTCGAACTCTCCAAGAAAACCCTCACTGTTACTTCATATTTCTTTCATCTACCATTTATTTTGTGACCATCAATCCAAATTGGATGGAGCTCTAATATCTTTCACATGTTTTTTATTAGTGCTGCCAGAAAGTTCATTTTAAATCTCACTTCCGTGTCTCTTATTATAATACATGTTCAAGCATCACTGAGGGCACACAGAAGTCCTTTCCTGTCACTAGCACAGTATGTCTTCAGAGATGGGAGGGCAGCATTAAGTCCACCTATCTCTTCTCCAGAATGGCAGTAGTACAGATACCCAGGGCCTCTTCACCCCAAAAGATTTTCAAGACTCATTGAGAATTAGTCATTACTCAGACTAACAAACAACTTTAATAATAGCTTTCTCTGATTGCTGGATGTGCTTGACAAGAGCATCAGGGGAGCAGAGGGTTGAAAGCAGGGCTTAAGCAGTGATAACGAGGGTCAGTGTGCAGATACGCCAGCTTCCTCGTCCGTCAAGTAAGAATTCTCAGGCACATTCTACACCATCTCCCAAATATCCCCAGCAAAATTGAGCACAGTTTCCCCAGGCAATGATGTGATCATTAATGAGCCCTGTATTGGCTTCTCTTTCTCTCCCATATATCACTTCCTCTCTTCTCTACAGGCACTTGGAGGGATGATTCTGCCCCAGACAAACTCCTTATATAAAATAATGTTTTTTAAAAAAACTCACAAAACAAATGCTTTCTTTTTTTGATGGGCCTTTCCTTGTGAGCCACCTCTCTGGGTGTAGATAAAGACTCTAAGCCTCTAAATAGGACCTAGGAGCTGGCGGCCCCTCACTACCATTCCCAGCATGCACGCGCACGTATGCGTGCACACACGTGCACATGCACTCATACACACTCATGTGCACACAGTATTTCTAACTAGATACATGGCTTTGGGAAAATTCTTGTTCTCTTCCTGGATCTTGGCTTCCTCACCTCTCACATGAGGGGGGCTTGTGCATTTCTAAGATCTTTTCTAGTTTGAATTGCAATCTAGAGACAAGTCCAACAAGAACCACCAGCAGTAACGTGATCTCAGGATCTCTGGCTTGTGGAACCAACTCTGCTTTGTCTGTCAGTATGCACAGGGACTTGAGAGGCTCTAGCCTTCTGGGGTTCATAAGGAAAAGGGATCGTGTCCTTTCACTCCCTTCCCAGACTTCTCTACAGATTCGTGTGTGGTAGAGGTGGCCATGGGACCCCAGGACTGCTCTCATCCATATCACATATGGATTTAATAGGGGAGAGCAAAGAGTATGGGCTTTGGTGTCAGACAAACCTGTGCTTTTGCTACACTATGTGAGCTTGGGTGAATTACCTAACCTCCTTGTGGCATGATCTTACCACGTGTAATATGGATATTAAGTAACTATTTTGCAAAATTGTACATTTTTTTAGCAAGGTTATTGATTGATTCTTTGATGTGAAGAATAAATGAAGTATGCACAAAACCTAGTGGCCAGAACACAGCAATGCTTAGTAAACAGTGACAGCAGTGATGGCTGTTTTCAAAGCTAGAACACCTTCTGGTACAGAATTTTGACAAAATTCCCAGAAAAAAAAAGCATGGAGAAGTCGAAAGTGGAAAAGGCTCTCAATATTTAGACTTCCTCTCAGTCTTCACAGAAGAAAATCATTGAGGCTTCCCATTACAGCTATGACCTTTTCCGACCTTCCAGGATAACTCTTAGGATCTCTAGAGAGAAGAGTGGATCTGGACTGGCTTCCTTGAAGCTTTCTCCCACCCCATCCACTGGAGCAACCGCAGAGTGATGGGGTCCTGGAGGTGGGTGCCACCAAGTCATGGCATCATGATCTCTGAAGAATCTGTGTGCACCGTAACCTACAAGAAGGCCCCTTGACTGTATCTATCACAATGTGGAGCATTTCCTCATTGGGCATTTCCCAGTGCCCATTATGTATTTTGGCGGCCTACTAATTGCAGGTGTTTCAAATCCACAAGCTGCTCCAAGAGTGAAAGATGAACAGTGTCCTCCTTTGAGATTTACAGCTTCTGGGAACCCACTGAAGTGTCAGCTATGAGTCAGCTCTGATGAAAGCAGAGAGGCATGAGTGCTCAGACCTCTGTTTGGTGACTGACCATCAAGAGGATGCTCCCATTCTATTAATTTTCCCCCTTGCTGTATGTCATCTATATACATGATCCAAGGAGAGGGGTCAGAATCTTCATTTTAGGATGTCATAGCTGGAAAGACCATCTGTTTCAACTTGGAGACCATCTAATTCAACCCACAATTTCTTATGAAACTGAAAGCCCTTTGTTCCAGTGCTCAGAGCATCACTTTTCCCGGCTGACCTCACATTATAAAGATGCCATCCCTAGTGGGTTATATTTCAGGCAACTTGATGGACAATCTCCTCCCGTGGGATTTACTGTCTCTGAAAACCTGCTGGAGGGTCAGCTATAAGTCAGTTCTGACTGTTGTTGCTATTGTGTACTGTAGAGTTGGAACCGACAAAAAAGGTGCACATGACATAGTCTGGTATGGGATAGAGTGACATCAACAAATAATTAGAGTACAAAGTAGTGCTTGCTGAAATAGAGACAAGTGTCAAGAATTCTTAGTGTGCATAAGAGAGTGGCCTAGAAGAATTGGAAGAATTGACAAGGCAAGAGAAAAGAGTAGATGGAAGGGCAGGTGGCATGGACAAAAGAAGGCATGTCAGGTAAAACAACTTGCGTGTAGAAGTAGTGGCACGAGAATAGTTTTGGAGAGAGTTTCTGTGTAGACAAAGTAGAGGTCACCAGAGGAGGAAGAGGCTTGAAAGGGAGAGTGGGGTGAGTTGTGAGGGATCATGAATGCTGCATTGTAGGTTATATTCCACCAATAATGAGGAGTTACTGGTGCAGAAGATTGGCATTAAACATCTTCATTTTTGGAAGGAGATTCTGATGGAGCAGATAAAAGATAGGCTTAGAGTGATCACTGGAACCCTAGAGAGGCACATATGTGGGTACCCAGCATTCTTCTGAGCACAAGCCAGCTTCCCACATGAGTGATGCCCTCTGATATGATGTTCAGTCTCAGTACACGAGTAATTCTGGTCTTGGGTACATGTGTCTTGCTGAGCAACTACTTTCTTCTCAATTTCTCAAAGCCTTTCACTTTCTATCGTATCTAAGGTTATTATGGATGTAATTAC